AGTATATATAATTATTCTTGTGATATACATAAAGTCGTTTTAAAAGCCTCAGGAATGTTTATGAACTACAGTGAAAGTCCTGGTTACGGTTCTGTGTTGATGATTTTAGACTGGGGCGGTTTCGGTAGGTATTATGTATCCGCATTTTGATGGTTCTGTTGACTTAATTGTTAAACAGAGTCGTAAGTCATAATTCACATATGACAACTAAAGAACTAAAGTGCTGCCTTAAAGTCAGTACGATAAGTACGGTTATCTAACATTGGACATAAAAAGGGAGAATTCGATAAGAACATAAACTCTATGGTTTAAATATGACAACAGATTTTCTTTTAAAAAGATGGTGGAAAATTGCAAAAAAAAAAAAAAAAAAACTTTTGGGAGTTCGAAAAAATACAGGAAATGGGATGTTGTGGATTTAAGATGTTTCGGAATACGTGACATAGAACTTTTTAAAGTTCTCATTATTTGAAACCTCACAGACCTCATTCTGGTATCAAATTTATGACAGCTTCTGTAAATATGTATTTGGTGAATGACACTACCTTTCGAAAAGGAAATTTTTACATGACGATATTTTTCATTACCATTAAAATTTTCTTAATAATGTGTGTCCCATTATTTATTAAAAGTAGATCAACTGTACCATACTGTAAAGTTATCCTTTTTATTGAACTCGCCATCTTCACCTCATATTTCCCGATGTTATCATTAGAAGCAAAAACATTTAGATCCTCTGGGGCAGTCAAAGAAATGTCACTGACATTAACATTCACGTTGAAGGTTTTGACAAATTTAAATTGAATTAATTTTAAGAACTGCGACGAATATGGTATATACACATATATATAGAAAAAAAAGCTTTAAAATATGGTGAAATGGATCGTAAATTCTATTTTATTCATGTCCTATATCACATATTTATACTGCTAATGGGAGGATTTTTTATCCAGAATACCCTTCGCGAATGAAATGGAAAGGTGTTTCAACAAAATGCAGTACCGATGGGTTCCTAAAAGTGATTTATAACAATGAAAAAAATCTATTGTAATTAAACAAGTGATACCTTTTTCTTTTTTTTTTTACATAAGCATGGTCTAAATCTGCATAGAGTTAAATTTCATTAGAAGACATCCATTAACTTGTGTAAAAGACATCATCATAAAGATGTTAATATAAACACGTCTTAAATTTTAAATATCATTTCACATTTCATATCAGAAAGCGATAAGAGACACAGTTTCGTATCTTCGCTGATATAGGTACCCCACTGTGAACGTTACTTTCCGAGATATTGCAGAATTTTTCCTATCTATGACTCAGGATTATTTCACGAAAAGTACGATTTGTCATCAATTTGTGTGTTAAAAAAACAATGACGTAATCTTTTTTTTTAAAATTAAGTGATGGATGTGGTAATTTGTTTCGACAAAGGTACGATTTGGCATCAATTTGTATGTTACAAAAACAATGGCCTGCTGTATTTCATATTGATTTTTGGAATTTACATGCATCATAAGATTAATTTAAAAGATCAATGAGTAATACTTATACTAATTGTCTTACAATGCACTAATGATACACTGAAGGTAAATAATATGGTATCTTGATGATGACTGAGTGAAAATGATTGTACATGGATGATACTGATTGTACATGGATGATACTGATTGTACATGGATGATACTGATTGTACATGGATGATACTGATTGTACATGGATGATACTGATTGTATATGACATGATGATGATTGTATATAGGATGATGATGATGATGATGATGATGATGATAATGGTAATGTTGTTGATGATATTGTTGATGATGATGATGATGATGATGATGATGATGATGATGATGATGATGATGATGATGATGATGATTGTACAAGGGATGATGATGATGATGATGATGATGATGATGATGATGATGATGATGATGATGATGATGTGCAAGGTTGATTGATGATGACGATGTATGTTTAGGTGTACAATTGCTATGATATGTGGGATGTGCAAGGTTGTTTGTCTGTATGTTTAAAATGCTTGAAAAAATGAAATAAATGAATAAAAAGAATAATAATATGATATCTTATTGAGGACTTTATCCATTCTACTAAAGTAATGACTTCGATCCTTCTACTAAACAATGACTGTCCCTTCTACCAGGAAAAGACTTTGAATTCTCTAACAAAAACAACTTTGTTCTTTCTACCAAACAATGATTTTGTCCTTCTACCAGGAAAAGACTTTGACTCTTCTACCAATCAATGACTTTGTACTTTCTACCAAACAATTAATTTGTCTATTCTGCCAAACACCGACTTTGTCCTTTCTACCAATCAATGACTTTGTCCCTTCTGCCAAACAATGATTTTGTCCCCTTTTATCAAACAACGACTTTGTCCATTCTCCCAAAACAATGACTTTGTCTTTTCATCTAAAAACATTAACTTTGATCCTTTTACCAAACAATAACTGACCCTCTACCAAAACAAAGGCTTTGTCCACTCTACCAAAACAATGACTTCGTCCCTTCTGCATTGTACAATACCATGAGTTTGTCCCATCTATGACACAGTGACTTTTCCCCGTCTATGAAACAATGTCTTTTCCCGTCTCTGAAACAATGTCTTTGTCTCGTCTACGAAACAATGTCTTTGTCACGTGTATGAAACAATGTCTTTGTCTTGTCTATGAAACAATGTCTTTGTCTCGTCTATGAAAAAATGTCTTTGTCTCGTCTACGAAACAATGTCTTTGTCACGTGTATGAAACAATGTCTTTGTCTTGTCTATGAAACAATGTCTTTGTCTCGTCTATGAAACAATGTCTTTGTCTCGTCCATGAAACAATGTCTTTGTCACGTCCATGAAACAATGTCTTTGTCTCGTCCATGAAACAATGTCTTTGTCACGTCAATGAAACAATGTCTTTGTCACGTCTATGAAACAATGTCTTTGTCTCGTCTATGAAACAATGTCTTTCCCTCGTCTATGAAACAATGTCTTTGTCTTGTCTATGAAACAAAGTCTTTTTCTCGTCTATGAAACAATGTCTTTGTCTCGTCTATGAAAAAATGTCTTTTCCCTTCTCTGAAACAATGTCTTTTCCTCGTCTACGAAACAATGTCTTTGTCACACGTATGAAACAATGTCTTTGTCTCGTCTATGAAACAATGTCTTTTCCTCGTCTATGAAACAAAGTCTTTGTCTCGTCTATGAAACAATGTCTTTGTCTCGTCTATGAAAAAATGTCTTTGTCCCGTGTATGAAACAATGTCTTTGTCTTGTCTATGAAACAATGTATTTGTCTCGTCTATGAAACAATGTCTTTGTCCCGTCTATGAAACAATGTCTTTGTCACGTCTATTAAACAATGTCTTTGTCTCGTCTTTGAAACAATGTCTTTGTCACGTCTATGAAACAATGTCTTTTCCTCGTCTACGAAACAATGTCTTTGTCACGTGTATGAAACGATGTCTTTGTCTCGTCTATTAAGCAATAACTTTTTCCCGACTATGCTACAATGACTTTTCCTCTTTATAAAACAATGACTTTCTCCTATCTACGAAACAATATCTTTTCCTGGTCTATGAAACAATGCCTTTGTCCCATCTATGATAAAATATTCTATTTTCTATCCCAAAAAACTGTAAAATTCTACCAGATACAGACTTAATGTATCACAGCTATTAGACAATTTTCTATTTTCTCTACCAAAAAAAAAGGAAAATCTACCAGACACAGACTTTATCTGTCACTTCTATGAGACAAATTTCTATTTTCTCTTTAAAGATCTGTAAAATTCTACCAGACATACATAATCTGTCATTTCTGTGAGACAATGTTCTATTTTCTCTATCACTAAAGTAAAACTGTAAATTTCTACCAGACAATGTTCTACTTTCTCCACCAAAGTAAAATTCTACTAGACACAGATTTAATTTGTCACTTCTAACATATACAGATATGATCGCTTACACCTAAATTACACGTTGTCATTTTCTGGTCTCGGATTTCGGAGCAGATTTTAGTACAGAATGTATAGTTCCGTTCTGACATAAGCAGACCCTATTCTGACCTTTTGTAAATTAACGTAAGACTGTTTTGACAGCTTCATAAACCCTCATAAGTATGTTTCATATGTTCATTTCCCACCGTTTACAGAACGTTAACCAGTCATCTAGAAGGAATTTGTAGTGATTTTCCGGAATATTGGGATATTCAGAACGTTAAGCATTAAAACAACTGGTACACGTATTGGTGTTGGATGAGTTTTACATAATTGATGAAAAAAAAGTACCTTAAAAAGTGTATTTTGACTGTATAATTTGCACACATTCGCAGGAAAAAGTCAGGATGATAAGCAGCCTTTGTTATTTTCTCAATGTCATTTTCGTCTTCGTCGTTATCAAATGATGAATTATAGCATCAGAATTTGTTTAAAATTGAGTCAAAAGCCAGAAAAATACACTTTCAATGAATTTTATGATATGAAAGATATATATGATTTTTTTTTATGTCATACGTAAAAATATGATGTTATTGAATTTCAGAAATTTATTCACAGCGTTCGATGACCGTTATTCAAACAGTTGCTTCTACTTTTAAGATCAACACTACTACAGAAACCTTCGGATGGGAACTTTTTCGAAAACTTTCTCACAACGGGCATAAAGTCGTGCTGATAAGATCTTGTGCGCTGTTCACGGTGACCTAAGCTGCAGAAGTAAACACTCTCGCGTGTGCTGTCAAGGCAATTCATTCAAGACGTATCTCCAGTCTACCACACTTAGCCGTCGGTGGCTGGTGGAAATCTGAGTAGACCCATGGACCTCCCCTTTTCGTTCCTCCTCCTTCTTCTCCCCCTCCTTGCCTCTTGAAGCTCCGCGGAGCCGACGTACACACTTTCTGATAAACAAAACATCGCCAAGAAAGCGAGCTGTTCATTTGCCACTTGTTGAGTGCAAAGGGGGCTGCCGGTCTCGAGCCGTTACCGCGTGCGCACGAGAACCGTAGTACAACATTTGGAACTTTACCAAACTCGTGTGTTGTGTAGTAAAACTGTAACTATGCCTCGAGCATTTCTCATCACAAATCGTCGATATTTATCCAAAAGACATTCCACATCTGCTCACCAATATGACAAAACATTACCAAATGTTGAATTTGAAGTTATCTACCAAAAGAATTTAGGTAAGTATCTGATTTTTTTCACAAAGTTACGAAACATGGAGATTTTCTATTGATTTTCAATGGTTGTTTTATATGAACCTGTGAATTTGTTGGAATGTCAGCCAATTTTCTTCAAACGTATTGGGCCTTATGTAATGTTCAATTAATATTTAAAATCTTTCATGACATTAGACATCAACATATAGCGATAATTTTCTATATTGAATCTTTGATATTGCAATATTACCTGAATTATCTGAATTCTTGATTAAAAAGGTTAAATTATAGAATATGTATTCATGTATGATTGAATAGTTCAGTCAATTTCTGTTTGATTCTACATTTTATTAAAATACGACATTTATTATAATTTTTGAAATTGAGATACTTTGTGTACCGTACCATTTCCGTCATCTTTCTTTTTTTATCTCTAAATCTCCGATAAATATGAGACTTTCTTTATAAAATACAAAAATAAGAATCTATGGTAATGGTATAATTATTGTCAGTTTGTATTTTTGGTGAAAATTTCATCGTTGATGTATGATTTAAATTTTAGATAAAATTATAATCATATAATTAATGATCGATGATAAATTATTGAAATTTTAACTATCAAGTTAAAATTCTTCCAAATTTATTTCAAAGTTCTAGTCTGCTTGTAGTTATAGAACACTTAATTTGAGTACATGAACAATCTTTACGGCCGAGGTTTCTTAGAGTAGAAGAATATCGCAATATCTCCAACTAAAATATGGCCAAATCATATTCTACTAAACTTACTTCTTTTCGCGGAATGACACTCTACTGTTGCAATCTTTACACACGTGTTATATAATGATTCTGATCCTACTAAACCACTACTTGTGTGAAAACAAATTGTACGAGAAATTAGCACCCTTGTTCTACTCTATGGGTTTCACTTGACAGGAACGTTTCCAACATTTTACCAATTTATTGCCTAATGGTATCAAAAAGACCAAAATTGGCATCAAGTCGTGGAGAAAAGACTGCTGCCAAAAGAACAATTGGCCACTGACAGTTGTGAACCTTTGGCCAGGGTTCGGGTTGCCTTTGTGGGTCTATGTCAAAGCCACAGTGGATCCTTGTCAGTGTGTTTGTGGTCCGTCTTAGACATCGGCTCAACCTTTTTGTATCGCCGTTCATTATCAGTGATTACACCATATTGACATTTTGGTGAATCATAAAGACTCAATGTGTGTCATGGTAATGTATATATATCATGCCTGTACGATTCTTTTCCATATCGTATGAAAAGCTGTAAAGATTTCCTAATGTCGACCTTTGATTTTAGTATAGCCATATCAAGTATGCTAGCGACATCGGGTGTGTTCAAATTGGTATAGTTAGTTTAAATTATGTAAGACATTATATTGATAACCTGATAACTTTTCTACAGATAGGCCTTTTTACGAAAATGTTTAATTCATGATATCTTTTTCGTTTTAATTAAGGCTTTTAAATTAATGTTTTCAAAATAGATATGATGAAACGGCTATGGAAACTAGCGAAAGTTTCTGTAGGGTAGGCTCATCTCTAGTAAAGCCCCAGCAACCATAAAGATTGTACCCTCCCCTTCACTTCCCCCTCCTCCTCCAAGCTCCCCCTCCTCCCCCGCGCCGGCAGCATATTCCCTTTGTTCGGCGGTAGGACATTTTCTCCACTTACAGAGGCTCACGCGCGGTAATGGCATTTCAATAGTGGTCACGTGACATCTAATCTGCCATTCATAATTTGTTTTCATTTGTCACAAGTTGGTACGAGGCAGCACCGTTGCTGCTGCTGCTGGATTCTCTTGCTGGTGGGGCCTTAATAAGCTTCCCCAGATCATTGCAAAAAGGAGACGGCAACATTTTAAGATTACTTAACTAATTGCCTGTCTAATTATTTGTAAATACGTGTATATTACTTTCACTTCCGTGGTGTAGATTTCATTATCATTATAGATAATTGACAAGATGAAGTTAATTATTCTCCAATCCATACAGGACTATTCCCAACGCTCACATCAGCTCTTGTTCGGCCATTACCTATTTACATCATAGAGTTTACATTATCAGTACGGATACAATTTCATGCCTTCTGAGTCAAACGCAATGCCCAAATCCGTAATAAAGGAAAATCGATTACTGTGTTTGACCACAGATAAGTATAATACATTCATCTGGTTTGAATGATGTCTTCGGAAATGAATAAGACAAAATTTCACAACAGAAATCGTCATGTTTAGGTAAACTTTTTAAACGATATTTTAAAACAAGAAAAATCAGTTAAACGGAATTTTCATGAAACCCACTTCAATGACTTTCATAACGAAAACTACCTTATATACTTTACATACATATCTGAATTAAACATGTTAATTTAATTATTTTTGAAAAGAAAAGACAAAGCCTGGAAAATTGTCATTTGTCTCTCGCTACCATAATTAGTGCTTAACATTGATATAGATTAATATATATATAGAATGACAACTCCGTAAAACATTTTATTTCTCACACATATAAAAGTAAAATTACAAACCACTTTTTGGTAGTCAAACCATGACGTAATCACAGTGTAATTGCAGCGTCACAGGAAACGCAGTGTATGATGATTTCCTTACACGGATATGTTACCGAGTTGAAAATGTTGAACTTTAATTTAAAAGTAAAGTTACATTATTTATGTTTTTAATTATAATTAAATTGTCTAATCTTTGTTACAGATGTATCACCAGTGTCTTCACCCGTCCCACTACCGCCGCCACCCCCTCCCCCGCCTCAACTTTCCTCTGACGAGGGAGACAGTGATTACAGCAGTTACACGTCATCGCCCCGACATGAAACAAGACCGGACCTGTCACCCAAAATGGAGTGCCGTTTCGATTGCTCTGAGCACATATCACTTTTATTCGATTTCATCAACCAGAGTCCAAGAAAAACTGCATGCAAGGACTTTTACGAACACGAATCTGAAGCAGTGCGCGCACTGAATTTTGACGAGCCGGATTATTCTTCCTGTACGAAAGTGTTATCTCCCTTGCAAGAGCTCGTTCATCAGCCGTTCGGACGTGTACCCACGGACGGGTCCGGACTGACTGACTCTCACATATGCTTGGAGTGTGGCAAACGGTACAGCACATCCAGTAATCTGGCGCGTCACCGACAGACTCACCGCAGCGTCAGCGACAAGAAAGCCCGTAAGTGTCCACACTGTGACAAAGTTTACGTGTCAATGCCAGCCTACAGTATGCATGTTCGAACCCATAGTCAAGGCTGTGAATGTATGTATTGCGGAAAGAGATTCAGTCGACCATGGCTGTTGCAAGGACATATTCGAACGCACACAGGCGAGAAACCATTCTCTTGTCCGAAATGCGGCAAGTGCTTTGCAGACAAATCAAACTTACGCGCACATATTCAGACGCATTCACCGGACAAACCTTACATCTGTGGCCGTTGTGGAAAGGCTTTCGCTTTGAAGAGCTATCTATACAAACACGAGGAATCTTCATGCATGAGGGGACAGAGGAATAAAAAATCAGTGGACATTGACGATATCGTATCTGAACCGGAAGAACAAAGAATGATAAAAAGTCCACAAACATCTGACCCGAACTTGATGCCCGTATGGTAACCATGGATACCGTCTTTTGACTTTGAAAAATACCATGACCTTGACCTTTACGTGGACGATTTTTTTTCTTTGTGCTGACCAATGACAAATGAGGATATAGAGGACCAATCAGATTTTTGTATGAATAAGTCACTTTTTTTGCAAATGTTTGTATTATTTCTACAATTGAACAGTAATATTTCATTAAGTATCCTTTTATAGATACTAAAACATTTCCGTCAACTCTGCTTCAAACTATTCCTATTAAACACAACTTGGAGATTTCAAAACATATTTTAACTATAAGCATTCCAGAAATCGCTTTATTACAGTAAAATAAATCATTCATCATTTTAGTTAAACGTATATCCCATAGGGCACAACTATGTCGAGTATGTCACATCGAACTAATTCACAGAGTAAATCATTATTGTATTTTCATGTCAGTAGAGTAATTTTGGTATTTTTCAAGCGAAAAGTTTGTAATTCTTGTCTGCGTAGCTGTTTTTCCCCACTTTGTTAAACATAAAAAAGATTTTTTCTTCATCATTCTGTCATATAATGAGAGTACAAATATCTATGTATCTTAAATACTTTTAATTCACAATGGCGCTTGACATCAGTATTACACACAGCCGCTGTAATGACGTCATAGATTGTTGGTCATAGTTTAACACATGTTTTTTATTTCTATTGATCTTTAGGCCGAACTTATCGATGGCATTACCAAATTCAAACCAGTTTCATATACATCACATTTAATGCCATAAAAATAAGCTCTGATTCAATTTTAAGATATATTTTTTTCAAAATTCATGAACGTCATAAACACTAGTGTTCCATGTTCATTTGCTGGATCACGCATGTGCATTTTCTATCTCTGCGTGTTATTTATTTCTGTTTATTTGTTTATTGACAGGTACGTCACAGAATCCTTCTTTAATCTCTACTTTTCTGGAGAAATGCTAACTTTTTATACATGTTATACCGATAAGAAATGGCAGCATAAGAAAATGATTTGCATATGTTGATGACGTATTAGAAATATACATCTAGCCATCAGTCATGATTCATATTTCAATACTTGATACAGTGAGCGATCCCTGATGTTTTTACAGACACTTGTAGTTGCTCACTGTACCTGAGTGTTCGGCTCCCATTCTGGAGATATCCTTAATGTTTATTATTTTACTTTGGCCGGCGTTCAAGGCTATTTACTTACCTACTTCTCAAGGTATATATACACAATTACGATTTGTAATCATACTTTTACCTCACTCTGAGTCACTCTGTAGCACCAATTATGACGTCATGCGTGATGCTTTTAAAACAACCAATCATGGGCACTGGTCTATGTATTGAATACACCTTCGCCTTTCTCACACACAGAAAGCGAGTATTGTAAATGTTTTTTTTATTTTTTTTTTTGTCTTTGATGTGTTCACCTAAATTATATACCTGTCAAATAATTGATTTTCTTTTATATACGATCCCCATTGAAGTGTGCGGTTTGCAAATGGCGGGGCAACATTTTTGAATTGGCATTATAGTTGAAGCTTGTGAATCATTGCTGTGTCTCGAGTGTGTTGCCGGTGTTTGGTTTTGTGAAATGCAATGTTCATATATATTTATCTTACGTACAACGTTAATTATAAATCTTTTTTTATTTTATTTATGACATTTATTTAAAATTTTTAGTCTCTTTTTAAAAGCAGGGAAGAGCGATAGGTAGCAAACAGGTAGAAAGGAAGATGGGCAGTGTATATTTCATATCGATGATACAAGTTGTTACTTATCACGCTTTAATTCAAAATATTATGCTCAATATGCATGCTATCTTGCCATCTCCTGTTCTGGAATCTTCAGGAAACATTTCAGCTGAAATTTCTTGACAATTATTGCTTTACATATAAGTAAAAATGTCATGTATTTATAGAGAATACCTAACTAGATTATTAACTTATTGTAGAAATTAATTTATTTAATTTATCAATAATGTATATTAAATTATGATGATTTTTGTTGCGATAGTTTTAGATGAAGAAGAATGAATAAATATAGCGCTGTACAACACTTGTTTATATAACATCGCGTGTAAATATTTCAACTGAGTCTTTTGTTGTAAAAAAACAAGTTTTCAAATATTTTATTTTTATTTTTTATAATGACCTGTGGTCATTTTTCAATTTTCTTACGTCATGTTTAGGAAACGTATGTCTATCCGACATAAATAGAATAAGTAAATTTGCCACTGGTTAAATGTTGAAATCGATTATTTCATTAAATGTGTTTCGAGTCAAACTCAAATTTTCATTTCTTAATTGGTGTATGATTCATTAAGTGTTGATTTATTTTTATCTTATTTCTGTGGCGTTTTACTGGGCCGGTTTATAACACGGTCTTTATTCATGTCTTAATTAAGATTTCATTTCGTTACATTGCGGATTTCATACTTAATATATTTACATAGAACATCAGTAAAATTATAAAACAATTTTGGCGAATACCACGCCATAAAAACTCAATTTAATCCACAAACGATTTTAAGAAATTAACTCAAAATAAATTGAGTCTTCAATAAATCTTTAATATAAAGAAAACTAAAATTGATTTGATTCGGAGAGTTTTTATTTCATCTAGCTTCGATAGACATATTTATGTTTCCTATTTTTGTGAATGATTCTTATTTACAATTTTATTGTAAATACCTGTCCATATATTTATTAAGTGTGTATTCGTGTGCCGTGTAGTGTGTCCTCAAATGTATTTATCAATATTTATTCAAATATTTATTACAAAACAATAAGAAAACATTTTTTGAAAGTTTTTTCTACTTATTTATTTTTCTACGAGTTTGCATTAAATTTTTAAATGCTTCATCATGTATTTATAAAATTTTATTTAAGAAATGAAGTCATCACTTACACCAGACGTGACACATGTCATCTTTTCCAACTCTATTTTAGGAAACTTCTCATAGGAGATGTTCTTCTCATCTTTACGTTCCCGAATGATCATTATTTGTATTGTAAAAAGAAAATATTAATTCTGAAAAATTACATTTGGTGCCATGAGTATTTTTGTCAATGGATTGTAAGTGTAATAAATATCGTATTATCAGTAACAATTAATATTGTATATTTATTGATGAAAAACAAAACAAGACATGTCTTCTTGAATAAAAATCAAACGATAAACTTGAGGAATCTTAATGATTCAGAAATCCGCTGTAAAATATAAAAGTTGTTTTTTATTAATTCAAATCGATATATTTGAAAAAAAATATTTTCCTCCATCTTTGATGTCAGAAACACAGTGTGTGTGCACCCTCCTCATCCACATCTACCATTTTTACCCGAGTAACTGTATCCAGTTACCAACATCGTTCATTTGGAGATTTTTTTTACTTATTGAGCTTGAGTGCCTTATGACAACAGATACCTTGAAAAGGTGTCGCCAGTTTTTATACTAAGCATTAGATGTGAATTACAACTTTCTACTATATTTGGACGAGTGAGAAATAAATCTTGGTTTTTTTATATAAACTTGTATCTTGTTATCATTTCATACAAATGTACTATTGTTGTTAGTGTTCAAATGACAAATTGCCTGGTCCAACATGAGTCGCCAGCAGGGAGCTCTCTAATTTCGAAATGGATATTGGAGTCTCCTCTTCTAATGTAGGTAAATATTTTTCAACTAAATATTTCATAAATCACAAATCAAACATCCTCTCGTTCGATTAAAAGAGCTCGCCATTTTGAAATCGGGCATAATGTTCATAAATTAAAGTAGATAGATGGAAAATTTATCTGCCTTTTTCACAATATACTTCTAAGTTCTGCTAACTTTATAATGACAAAAATTGATAACACCAACGTAAAGAAATTGTCTCTCTGTCGGCCGGAGCAATAACCAACATAACAACGAAGTCTTTTAAAACTTGTCCACGTTTGTGTCTGATTAGCGGCAACATCAAGTTTTGTCTCCTCGACAATAAAATAAGACTGGACGCGTTGTAAAAGATATAGAATCAAATATTCAAAATGTTGAATAGAAGTTCTCAAAACACAAGCGATTATAATATTTGTGTGTGACGTTTCGATGACTACATTGTCATCTTCACTAAGCTAAAAGGACGAAGACGAAAGAAAGGCAGTTTTTTTGTCTGATGAAGGTTGATATTGTACTTGTCAAAACATCATACATAAACTTTCTGTTCGTGAGTAAGGAACACATATATACTACAATAGGTGTGTGTGCTGTCCAACTCCAAAGTATCAACTTTCATGTTATACCACATGTTTTGACAGCCTGACAGGATGAACTTTTACCAAACGGTCGCTTCATCCACTCACAGATTAGAACGTACAATAAGAAGTTCAGCATTGGTTTCCTAATCATTTGATTTTTATGTAGATTTCTATCCATTTTTTACTTCCATGTTAAAGGACCGATTTATAAATAGTTATGATTTGTAAATAATTTCATTATCTTCATGTATTTCTGAAATTGTCTATCTGACATAATAAAGTAGTGGTGTTTTACTACAGGTCATATCATCACGCCCCAAATGCTGACGTTAAAAAAGTACACGTTGGTAGAGAACGGGTCAGTTCAACTATAGTGTAGCCTTTTCATTGTGATAGAAACAAGTCACACAAGCTCGTGGTTGTCATATCTGCTATTTCGTGCACTGTTGTTAGTTATATTCCAAAGATTACTTAAACATTCTCTAAAGCTCGTGTTTTTGTTTCTGTTGAAAAATAAATAAATGAGCGAATGAAATACCATATACCACAACCACAACCACAGCCACAGCCACAGTAACCTATTTTATATATGATCTGACCCGTGCGACTATTCGAATGAATCAAAACGTTTCATTCAGGTAACGACAGACCACCAGTCGTGTTTACCAACAGTAATTTTAGGAGTGTTCGTATACATAATCTTTTGTTCATATTTTGCATATTTTGTAGTAATTTCATCGAATTTTATGTTTGATTTCTTTGGTGTTATTTAGTAAAAGATTCACAAGTGAATAACACATTTCATTAAAAATTTAATTTAGAACGAGATATCGTCTCGTTTCAGCCAAACAATGAATCCAACCGCATCAGATGACTTTTTTGTCTTTCTATGACTCGTCAGTGATGCCTAAGAGCTTAAGTTGTTTATATTTGCCAGTAGGGAGGCACTTAGGAAATCAGAAATTGTGGGACAACTTCCAATTCGACGACATTACAGAGAAGAAAGCAATTGAAAAGAAATACAGTTTAATTTGGAAAAGCACCAATTTAATAAGAAATTTGTGAGGACAATAACCAAATCAGCAAGTGTAAATGAAAACATTACCAGACATAAGAGATGCAAACATTTAGTAATTCAAATCATGAAGACAGGGACCGGTTCAAAAGCACCGCCCGAGGAGGAAACATAGACAGAAAATGAATTTAGATAGAAATAAAGAAAACAAATGATTCCACAACAAAAAATGAGCAGAAGCCATGAAAAGAAAGGGGTAAGCGGGTGGGAGTGTTGCACGAACTGAATTCGGGAGGTAAGCAGGTGGGAGTGTTGCAGGAACTGAATTCGGGAGGTAAGCAGGTGGGAGTGTTGCAGGAACTGAATTCGGGAGGTAAGCAGGTGGGGTTGTTGCACGAACTGAATTCGGGAGGTAAGCAGGTGGGGGTGTTGAACGAACTGAATTCGGGAGGTAAGCAGGTGGGGGTGTTGCACGAACTAAATTCGGGAGGTAAGCAGGTAGGGGTGTTGCACGAACTGAATTCGGGTGATAAACTGGAAGGTGTGTTGCACAAACTGAATTCGGGAGGTAGACAGGAGGGGTGTTTCACAAACTGAATTCGGGAGGTAAGCGGGAGGGAGTGTTGCACGAACTGAATTTGGGAGGTAAGCAGATGGGGGTGTTGCACAAACTGAATTCGGGAGGTAAGCAGTTGGGGGTGTTGCACAAACTGAATTCGGGAGGTAAGCAGGTGGGGGTGTTGCACGAACTGAATTCGGGAGGTAGGCAGGAGGGGTGTTTCACACACTGAATTCGGGAGGTAAGCGGGAGGGAGTGTTGCACAAACTGAATTCGGGAGGTAAGCGGGAGGGAGCGTTGCACAAACTGAATTCGGGTGATAAGCTGGAAGGTGTGTTGCACAAACTGAATTCGGGAGGTAAACAGGAGGGGTGTTTCACAAACTGAATTCGGCAGGTAAGCAGGAGGGAGTGTTGCACAAACTGAATTCGGGAGGTAAACGGGAGGGAATGTTGCATAAACTGAATTCGGGTGGTAAGCAGGAAGGTGTGTTGCACAAACTGAATCACAAGCTGAGCTTGAAGCGAGACGACAACAAACTAAGAAATGAACCATTTCTACCATATAAAACATTGACTTTTAACAAAATAGAAACCATCGCTCTCTATAAGAATGTCGATTGAAATCTGAGTCAAAATGTTATATACCATTCTGACATATTATTCATCCAAAATGAAAAAGGACATCAGATATTCGCTTTAAACGCAGATAAAATATTCTATAACTTGCAGAAAACTTTTCATGAGTCCGCCATTGCTTCAAATAATCTCTGTAACACCTTGTATAATGGACCTGCAATATTTCTTCAATTATCTATGACGTCACAGTCAAAGACAAATCTTTGGTTTACTTTAGGAATTAGAAGAATCTATTGTTACATAGGACTGTTAGTATATCTGTCTCACCTGATCTGTAGGACTGATGAGCTTACATCATACTGTGGCGTTCGTGGAATATGCCCAAATTGGACTTAAGCACCCTTAGGTTAAGGGAATCAATTTAGTGTAAACTGCAGGTCTCATTCGTCTAAGGCAGAAGGGAAGGGGCGCGGCCAAATAGGGGAAATAAATTGAATCTTCAAAATCCTACAAACAAATTGTTTTGATCAATGTGGTCAGACGCTTCCTTCGGTGAAGGGGTCTCAATTTTGTATGAACGATGAGTCTCGCCACCTACCCAACCCTGCAAGGATTTGCCCAGATTTGGTCTGTAGCTTCCTTGGGTATGGAATTCAGTTTTCTATGCGCAATGGATATCTGACTTTCATTTTATCACATGACTGATTAAATATCTTAATAAGCCAAGTAAGCGATAAAGACCCCATGGGCCTCTTGTTGTAAGTGTGGGGTTATATCTTGAAAAGCTCTCTGTCGATTTGCTTCAGTTTCGCCTTTTGCCCCACGGTATTATATGGTCAAGTTCTACACATTATCTGATTCTGGCATGTGTAGGAGACATTTACTGGCTTAATTTTCATTGAAGTTTAATTCGTATTTGAAAAATACTATGGAGATGTTAACTTGTCTATTTTCGGACATCTGGATAAAACTGCGGCAATGTTTGAAAATACATGTTGCTTTGCCGATATACGGAATGAAATGTAGACGTATTGTCTGGCTGTGAAGACTCGAGAAGCTCTATGTTCGAGTTAAAGCGGTTTAATCAGTTTGAATTTTTTAATGAAAGGTTATCTGGATGTCAAGTTTTTAAAATCAAACTCAGTAACATCATATGTTTTTACTTATAGTCTCAATTTTAAAATCCAAATTCATCGTCTTGTCTCCCTAGAATCATCCTCATCTAATAGAACGCAGAAAACCAATTAAATTTCAACTTTCTCTCCACTCTTTAGAGGACATATTAAGAGGCAGGCGCGCAGTATCATGCAGTCTCGTGCAGCACGTGTACGATCATGCACGACGGGAACCCTATTATCGTTACTCTTGTCAATTACGGTTGGGTAGTAATGTTTGAGGCTTTCCATTTCCATTATTTACATCGGTTTTGGTGTTGTCCCTGTCTATTCGTTCCGTTTCATATACCGGCGCCCGTTTTATTATACCGAACAACTTACTGTCACAACAATCTCAATGGATACCAGCCCAAGTCACTTCCAACCGGAATCATATACTTACGCATTGCAACTGTCACTTGAATATTTTTATTTGAATAAATTACTTTCATTTTACACCACGGGTTACCATTCTATTGAAGAAACGATTAACATCTGTAAGCACTTTCCACAATTTTCACGTTCTGAACGAAATGATTTCGGGCAGGGTATGATAAAGTGGTAGAAAGTTGGTAGGAATTATATCTGTTCTTATGCTCGAAAGCTGAAATGGTTTACGTGAAACTGGTACTGAACAGTTAATGCCATAGACGGTGGGGTTCCAGTTCTTACAATTAGCCGTGTTTCCATTAATCTGCCACAAGTGTGTCCCACTGCGCTGACAAACATATAGAATCTGCAAGGAGCAAACTAGAAGTTAGGTTCCCAGAGTGAAATAATCAAGTCGTTTTAAGATAGAGAATCATTGAATCTTATTTAATATATTATCAAGGAACTTTATTTTCATAGCAGAATGTAGGAATACCGGAAGTGAAGACTTCTGATCATATTTCATATCAAATTGCCTTCCTATTTCCTTCAGAGTTACTCGGACTTTGTGAAAAATATAATTTGGACTTTACATCAAGCAAGCAAAAAGGAATATA